AACTGTCGACCTTTCCCCGTTTCTATGAGGAAGAAAGATCTTCAGTGACTGGTGAGTGGAAAAGGAAACACTTTGTTTCCACTTACGCTTTCGAGTTTTGTCTTCCTCGAGAATTTAGATTCAACGTAAATTCTCCATCTGGGTCAATTGGATTTTGTTCTGTTCACGAAGTCTGGGAAGAGAGGAATATCCAAAATTGGTCTTACGGCTTCTTGTTTTCGTTTTATCAGTTCTCGTTTTGGATTCTGAAACGAAGTTTCCCTCCATCTAACTTGTTCTAATTTTTTCTTCAACTTTCTCAGATTCGAGGATTTTTCCTTCATTTTCCCGGGAAATCTCTCTTCTTTCCCATGTAGAAGCAGGTCTTTTCCGCAACGGAAGGGCTAAAGTAAGAAAAAGAAGAAGCTTTCGATCTTCATTCTTCAATTCAGATTCTCACTCGCAAATCTCTATCTGGGTTCACCAGAATCCCCCCAGAACCTACTGAAAGTTCGAGAAGTTTACCAAATTCTGCATCTCTTTTAGGAGATGATCATGGATAAGGAAACGGAACAAACCCTAAATATCCTACCTTTGGACCAGAGCGATCCCTTTGGAAACGGCAACGACCCAATGATCGGTGATTTCATCGGAAGATTCTGCGACACGAGAGAGATATCGCCATTGGCACTACAATCTTTCTCCATGAATTCCCAGATCTCCGCGAATTTCCCGATTTCTGGAGGAATCCAATTTCCGTATCCAGGGAACTTCGGATCCGATCGGGCATATGCGGTTCTTCGGTCTCAGTCAACAGCACAAGAGAGCAACACGAGCTCCTTGTTGGATCCAGATTCAGGTTCTGCATCTGGTCGAGCTCAAGCCACAGTTTCGAATTCCAGGAAGAGAAAATATGTCCCCACTGCAAATGGCAAGGAATCACCAGCTTCATCGTCTCTGACAGCTTCCAATTCCAAGGTCTGCAATCAAACTCTTCAGAATCCACCACTTTATGTATACATCATGTGTTGTAGATTGCATATCATGAGTATGATTTAGCTATAGGGCTTGTACTCGTTTGGGTCCTTGATGAGAAAGATGGCGGAATTCAGCTCTGGTTTGGCAGACATGAACTATGTCCATGAAGGATACGTGTTTCTGTAGAGACAGCATGTATTGATGTATGTAGGTAAGATTCTTCATATCCAGCTTTGATGATTCTGAGGGAAATGGTTGGTTTCAGATTTCGGAAGAGAATGCCGCATCAGTGGCTGCTAAAAGAAGCAAGCAGGAAGAAGCTGTTAGCGGTAAAGATGAGAGCGAGAAGAAAGATAACAAAGACGGGAATAAGGACAATGCAAAGCCACCCGAGCCAGTGAAAGATTACATACATGTTAGGGCGAGAAGGGGTCAGGCAACTGATAGCCACAGTCTAGCGGAAAGGGTACCGAGATCTGGAAACCAATCACTTTATGTGCTCATTTTCGGTTCTTTAGTGTTGGTGAATATGATTGTTGTGTTCTGATGGTTGTGTTTGGAGTTAGGCAAGAAGGGAAAAGATTAGTGAGAGGATGAAGTTTCTTCAGGATCTGGTTCCGGGCTGCAACAGAATCACTGGGAAAGCAGTTATGCTTGATGAAATCATAAATTACGTGCAGTCGTTGCAGAGACAAGTCGAGGTAGAGATCAGATTACAGATTCTATCTCACCTGTGTCTGAAATGTTCTTGATATTGAAATCTGAGTGTTTGTTATTACTGATGCTTCCCTCTTGTTTACTTTGTTCTTCAGTTCTTGTCCATGAAATTAGCTACTTTGAACCCAGGAATGGAGTTCAATGCAAATGCTCTTTTATCTGCAGAGGTATTCTCTACTTTAACTCACCATTTCTCTCTAAAACCCTTCTCAAGACTTGAAATCGTTATTACGTAGTAGGTTATAACCCTTTTCAAGTTTGTGTGTATGTGTGTGTATACAGATGTTTCAGCCGGGCGAGCCCTTATTACCGCAGAGTCTTTACCCATTAGTTTGCGCAGAGCCAAGACTTCCATCAGGGTATCTTTCCCTTGGCAAGAGGAGCATACCCAGATTCTCCGAGATGCAATTCTCATCACACGCTTCGAGCATTTCATCACTGCCCTCCAGCGATGGATTTGTTCAATCCGAGGTAATCCAAATTCCACCATGGAAAACTCAAGAATAGCAATATACATTCGCTCTCTTTCTTTCCTGCTCTAAAGAGTTGCTTTCAGGCACCCGAGTTCTGGGAAAACGATCTGCAAAGCATTGTTGGGATGGGGTTTGTAGATAACCAGCAGCAACACAGCATCATGAGCTGTAAGTTTGTAAAGCAAATCAAATCACTCAGAAAATGAACACGAAGAGCGGATTTGATGCTTAATTCCTTGCTGGAAATTTTGATGCTTAATTCCTTGCTGGATTTCCGTGTCATATGTTTCAGGTTCAGAGCCAGCTGTTCAGATGAAGATTGAGCCTTAAGCTGATCAAAGACTCTTTGATGTCTCTGTACATAGAAAACAAGAAATGCTGGTACAGAGTGAACATATATTCTTCTGGAATCTGAATTAATGTTACTCATTCCCAGATTTTGTTTTCTTTGTTCTATATATCTATATATTGATTTCTATTGAAAACATCACATTCTGTAATAAAAAAAAAACAGAACTTGTGGACATAACAGTTGTATTTGAGTTACAACCTGCATTGTGTACGGCTTACCTCTCAAGAAAGACATCAACTTTGCTCTCATTTCTCTGCATTCGGAAAATTTATGAAATTACAATGCGATATAATAACAGTTAACTAGTGATGTTTCCTTGTTCTGCAAAGTAACTCTGTAGTAGTTTTATAGACAGTGTTCTCTTGAATAGCAAACAGAAATTTACCATTATTCGTGTAAAAACAAATCTCTTACAGACATCAGACTCCACCCCAAGAAAATCGAACAAAAAGGGTACATATAGACTGTAGAATGGCGTTTTTAGACACACTAAATACATGAAAAGAACTCTGACTTGACTACCAAGGGATTCTTTTATATGTTGCAGCGGTCGTAGCCGGAGAACCAAGAGGGTTCGACCAGCTTTGCCAGCTCAGCATCCCCTTCGTAAAATGGTTTGAACTCTTCTCTCCATCTCTGGTCCCCTTCACTTGATGATGGTTCATCGTATTTGGCGATGACATGATCGTTGAATGAAGCTGTAGGAGAGGCGGCTTCTTTGGTCACATGAGATTCTGCAATGAGTTTGGCTTCTTCTTCTCGTTTCCTCTTCAACTTGTCAATCTGTTTATACGCCTCTGCAGCTTTGGATTCAGCTTCCATTGCCCGATTCTGTGAGGATTTAAGCCAGAGAAGTTAAGATTCATTCTTTGAAGTAGTATTCAACCTCCCCTTGCAATTTTACTGATCAAATACTTTATTCGTAATGAAAGGCTCTCCTTTTATAGGGAGAGCTACTACCTAGGAAGCTACAGAAAGAGAGATGTGGGACAAACAATAAAACATTCTCTAACAAGCGATTATTGAAAAAAACATTCTCTAACATGCTTTATAGACCCACTTATTTCCTAATCTCTCAATCCAATTATAAAATAACCCAATAATTTTAGGAATCTATCAGATCGTCATCAAGTAAATGCAGAATTTGAAATGACTAGTTCAAGAAGATCGAAACTCGGGAGAAGTTCTAACGTACCTGTGCAGTAGCCAATCCTTCTTCAGCTTCTTTAAGCCGAACAAGCAGCTCTCCTGCTGCCTGTACAGCGTCAGCTGTATCCCTCAGTTGTGACTGGAGACTCTTGTTCTCATCCCTGAAGTATTGTCTCTCTTTCTCTCTTTCCACCTTCAATGCCGAGATTTCAGCTGCAAGGGCGTTTATGAATCTAGACTCAGCTCCTCTTACTCCCGCTCTGGCCGCTGCTTTTTTAACATCGTCCATCCCATCTAGAATCTTTCTATGCCTTATGAGCAATTGAATATGCTTCTCCTCCAGGTCTGCATATTGTTCAAGCATGCGTGCATGCCCCTGCATCGCCATCTGCATTGCTTCCTTCAACTCATCTGCACATCTTTTCTCGGTTACCAGTTCATGTTTCTGCTTTCTCATTAGTGCTTTGTTGGTTTCGAGCTCGGTTCTTAGTTCCTCGGTAAGAGAAATCCACTTGCTTTCTGCCTCAATCCAACAAAGTCTCTCCTCTTCTAGTATTTTCTCAGGACTCTCATCTGAAGATTCAGGAATTGGATGAAGTGGCAGAACCTGATTTGGGTCACAGGTGTATGTCAACTTAAGCAGTGAACATCTTTTCCGAGCTGATGTTAAAGAAGGGTCAACGTAACATTGTAGTTGGGTCCTTAAATCCTGAATCTCTTCCAACAATACTTCCCTTTCTCCCATGTCACCACAAAAGTTTCTGTAACTTTCTAGCTCTTCTTGCGCTCTTTTCAATTCAATCTTTGTCTGCAACACTTCAGGGTGATTCTCATACATGTCCTTCAGAAGCTGCAAAGTTCTATGTCAGGAGGATAGTCTTTGTAACAGAGGAAGAATCACCAAAATCCACAATTACCTTATGCTCATGCATGAGAGACGCAAACTCTTCATCCAGGAAATCCTCTTTAGATAACACACCATCCACGAGGCTTTCAAGGCGAACAATTTTTTCCTCCCTCGTTTGTCCTATGATGGCACTGCACTCTCTCTCATGTTTGTATTGTTGCACCTGTTACATGATTTAAATTTATATGAGAGATGATTACAAAATTTCTCAGGTTATAATAAGGAAGTCGTGAGAGCAAAAAAACGATAATGAGGATGATACCAGCCGATTAAGCTGTGATATTTCTGAGGCTTGCTTAGTACAGAACTCTTCGAGAGCCATTTCTCTCCTGATAGACCCTGCTAGAACCTTTTCCACCGCCTGTAAGGTGTAGCAAGTTCACATTTTATGTGGCAGAAAATATATGAATGTACCATGATAATCTAGAATCTCAATATATAATCCAAATAACAATATCATTTTTCTTACTTTGGGAACTTGGGTCTTCGATTTTTCCATAGCTTCTGAGTTACCAACAGGCACTAACTGAAGATTTGAAGTCTCTCTGGTTTCTTGGTCATCACATTGTGCTTTACCTTTGCATTTACTGCACAGAACTTCTTCTGTGTTCTCCACTGGCACTATATCAACTTCAGGGAAGGTTTGGACACCTACATCAGCCTTACTTATAATGGTGGAAGGCATACATTCTGGAGCTTTGAAGGAAAACTTGAATGCTGAACGCCTTTGTGCTGTACTCTGGCGATACGACTCAAGAAGTTCAATGCCTCTGTGAAGGCTAGCAGCCAAATGCTCTGTTGGTACAGGAAAAACTCTACTTTTATGTGTAGGCAATGTACTGGACAAATTTTCGATCTTTGTGGATGTTGCCTGAGATGATTCTAGAGACCCTGTAGTTAACTTGTTATCTTCCTCTGTATCCTTCTGAGAAGCTGTCAACATTGATGATGTCCTCAGGCTTTTCCTGCTATTTCTAATCCTCGGCGAGACACTCAGAACTGGAGATTTTAACACAGGAGAAACATTAGCTGGGTCCACGCTAAGACTAGGTGATACTGACTTTACTGAAACAAGCCGTGCATCATTTGATCCATCAGCCTCATTTGCAGAAACAGCTTCTGAAACCAATCCTGGGTGTGATGCCACATCTTCGACCGTGTCTGAATGGATATCTTGCACGATTGCATCGACCTCATCCGCTGTGACACCGGTGTCTGTTACAGTTTTCACAGTATCAATTGTTGCTGGTTCATGATTCCCAGTTTGGCAACACACGTCCTCCATGGTACCATCTGTATCCTCAGGGGGCTGCTCGTTCATTGATTGACAATCAGATATAGTTTGAGAGCTGATGTCATTTTCACCCTTAAGGGCCACAGCTTGTAAAGATGAATTTATACTCACTACTCTGCTCATGTCATTATTGCTCTGATTTGCTGCTGGGGATGACTGCAAACCCACTTGAGCACAGAGCTTTTCAACGGCTTCTTCATCAATTTCCATCTCAATATCACCGTCATCATCTCCATGAGGTAAGGATCTTGGATGACCCAAGCCAAAACTTCTTAAAATATTCAAACTTCTGCGTGCATTCCATGCAGTGGAATATGCTCCATTTGGGTTAGTCAGGTTATTTCCATTTTCCTTCATCCTTTGGAGTTCGTCCTGCAAAATTTTGCCAATTAGAAGTCATTCACACTTGTAGCTATATATAATTGAATAGGCAAAAGAATGCATACCCTTAGCTGGCGTATCACTTCGCGCAAAAAATTTACGTCATCCTGCATTACTTCATTGACAACAGCTTTATTCTGAATCGCTTTTGCGCGTTGAGCAAATCTCAAGGTACTGAAGGTCTCGCTCCTGCAACTGTAAATTTGGCACATTCTTTTTACATCAGACAATGGAGAATAAGAAATTTCTGAAAGAGAAGTTGGAGGCCATGTATTACCTTTGTGAAGGAGAAATTGCACAGACCATGGCTAGTTTTGCATTCCCGCCAAGAGACTCTTGCAATAAAAACGTCAACCTGGAGTCCCTGTAGGGTATATGCCTTTGTTTTCCTGTTTGTGAGACTTCTGCAAGAATGTTTATCAAGTTCCTGCATATAAAAACCCAACTCTAGATTAACATTTGAGTTGTGGTTCTCAGTTTCAGACACTCAGTAGCACCATTTCCATAAAATGTCCTGCCACTGCCAGTGAGAGTAAGAGCTTCACACTCTCAGTAGCACCGTTTATGCCTATTGTCACATATAGAATATCAGACTTTCCTATTTGAATGGCTTCAAAAAAGCAAGAATTACAGCAGCTACTAGCATTCATTTTTCAAGCCTTTAAATAAGTACTCAAACACTAGATTTCTAATGCATGCTATAGCATCAGAAAACTTCCTACATACTGAGATGCAAATTTTACCAGAAAGGTAAAAACAATAAGCAAACTCCATGGAATAACATATATTCTTCTCATTTATAAGTATAAAATATAATGCACAAAAACCTGACTCATACCCAAGCTGAGAGAGGGATCGATTGATATTTCCAGCTTCCTTCAAACGTTCACCTGCTGCACCAGTTAATTTTTGTCTCTCTGAACCAGCCAGGTCAACAAGATTTATTCTACTTGTCTTGAAGCTGCTAAGACCATCTGCAGCACTCTGTTAGGCAGTAAATTTAATTGCAGTCAGACATCGCTGTGCCCATGTTTATATAAATGAAAATTTCAGAAATTCCTAACATTTGCTAGAAAAATTGGTATACATATCAGCATCACAGCTCAGATTGTTTTCTTAAAAACCCTTGAACATAATATGTAGAATTTGATGCAGGAGAGTAACCTACCTTGCAGCGAGATTCAACAACACAGGTCAATACACAATGCGATCTTGAGCTCTCAGCATTCACACTTGTAGCACCAATCCTTCTGTTCGCTAAACCCTGCACCAATTTTCAAAATAAGAACAACTTTTGAAGATACTTTTCTCACAAAATCTGAACAGCTTGACTTACCAGTCGATAACAAGACTTTGATATGTTTTATCAATTTAAAATAGTTGTACACATGATTAACCTTTTAGTAATTTCTTTGTGATATTCAATTTACATAATGTTGTGACATCGTGAAACATTGTTCCAAATATGTGCGTTTAGAACAGAAACCTCTCATCAAACACTCAAGACATCTTGTGAAGTAGACAAATATGAGTTTGCAATTCGGAAGAAAAAACAAGAAGTACAACTAACCTTAATTAGAAGCCGTGTCACATCCTTCAAATTTTGCACATACTCCTCGGTCAGATTTTCAACATAGACACCTGATTTGATATCTTCTCTAATCTGGTGCAATAATAATTAAAGATAATGAACTATGACTCTCTCCTCAAAACCTAAATCAAGAGAGTTCAAAGTTTCTTATACCATCAGGTTCTTTTGGCTGGGATCCAAAAGATCTGTTATTTGTTCATTGTATATCTGCAAAAGAAATTGGGAAAGAAAAGTATGTATATCAAGCTTTTACAAAATGGAAATCTTAAACACTATCTCTAACTTAAGTATTGAATTCAGTCAACAAACCTCGAGAAGTGAACATTGACACTGGTAACTGAGTTGCCTTTCAGCATGCTTAACTTGTTCCTGCAAAAGAGAAAGAGAGAAATACATTCAGTTTTCAATGAGCCAACTCTTGCAAAAGCTGAGACCAGATTGAAAGCGAGCGAAACAAAGGATAACCTCATTGATTCGGGCAAATAACTGTTCAAACACTCGTGGTGTCAAACCTTTTTGGTCACCTGTAAGGTGCTCTTCTAACAATGCATTTGGGGGACCCCACATGGTATAGGTTTTCCCACTCCCAGTCTGGTAGAGTCAGTTTCCATGTCACCGTTAATTGCTGAAGTTAACAATACAGTTAATTACAAATAAATACACCAAAAAGTACCTGTCCGTATGCAAATACAGAGCTATTAAATCCAGCCAAACAGTTCTCAACAAGAGGGGCTCCGACAAGCTGAAATATATCTTCCTGCAAAGAACACAAGAAAGACTAAGGCCTTAGCATCTGAGTGTTGCACTGTATCAGAACATAGTGACACCCAAAATCTTGCCTGTGTTGTCTCTGGGTCAGCAACTGAGTCAAATGTGAAAGTATGCCCATTAATTGTGAGGGAATCGTTGGAGATCTTCTGGACTATCATTTCTTCTTCCTCGCCCTTGCTTGGAGGTTTCATTCTGACTATAACCTACAAATAACGCAATAAGAGAAGTGATCAATTTATGCAGTTCCATGTGAGATTCCCCACTCTTGAAAGCCAAATGAAGCTAAAACCTTCTATAAATAGAAGCTGGGATCTTCCTTTTCCTCCAATTGTAGAAACAAATGCGAAAGTGTCTTAAGCAGGTAACATAACACAGGCTACTTCATTTTTCCTAACCGAATTTTGGAAGTTCGAAACTTTATTTGACTAATCTTTCCAATGGGTTTAGAAATTCTAACCCACATTGCCAAATTTAAAAGAGAGCGAGACCCGAAAGTCAAACACTACCTTGACGCCAGAATCCAAAAGCCCAGGTATCGCATTTTCCGATCCGACCTCCGTGCTGAGCTTGCGTTTGAGAGGATTAGCCGGCGGCGGACGCGGCGGTAGCGGACTCTTCATCTTCGCCGGCGACGACCTATGATCGGGTGTCAGAGAGTTCAGATCCGGAGGAGGAGCGTTCTCTTTGGCGAATCTCTGCTTGCGCGGAGGCTTCGATTTCAATGCGCTAGGGTTTGGCGACTGCGGCTCTCCGACATCCCGCAAGATTGGGTTTCTCGGCAACATGAAGTGCTTCATCTCGCCAGTGAATCTCAGACCAGAACCCTAGTCAGAGAGACGAGAAGAGGAAAAATCTGCTTCTGCAACTGCGTCTGTGTAACCCTAGTGTTCGGGCAAAGAAGCGAGGAAGAAGGAGCGATGGAGAGAGAGAGAGAAAGAGTTAGCCGTTAAGGAAGAGAAATTTGAATTTTGTAGATCGTACAAGTCGCACACATCACATGGATTATTAATATTCTTTATTATTTTTTTTACTGTCGACTTGATGGTCAATCTGAGCCGTTAAATGAAATCCAACGGAGGAGGCCAAGCAAAGGCCCACCTTTCGTTTTCAAAGACCGTTCGGGGTTTTTTCAAAGATCTCTTGGGGCCCACTCATATATCGGCTTTATTGGGCCGTATTAGGTTTATAAAGTGAAGCCCAACAAGAGGCGGTCAAACCCGGTTTGTTAATATCCCGGTTTATTCCGGTTAACGAGCCGAATCAATTAGGAGTCCGATTGTAATTTCAGAAACCAGTTTTCTCTCTATCGTTCGAGGTGGCCCTTCTCTCCGACCTCTCTCGGGGCCGCCTAAGTCCTAACGCATAGGAACACCCGAGATTTCTGAGATTTTCCCCCCCTTCAGTTTCGTGAATACAAATAAACAAAAATCAGAAATTCAATCTCTCGATCTGGTTTGATTCGGATTCTAGCTTCGATCATCGGCAACCATGGCGGAGATGGCGAATCCAGATCTTGAAGGGATTGACGGAGTTCGTATGACGTGGAACGTTTGGCCTCGGACCAAGGTCGAAGCCAGCAAGTGCGTGATCCCACTCGCTGCCTGCATCTCCCCGATCCGGCGACATCCCGACATACCCTCGCTTCCGTACGCTCCGCTCCGTTGCCGTACCTGCTCTGCCGCGCTCAACGCCTTCGCCCGCGTGGATTTCACCGCAAAGATCTGGATCTGCCCCTTCTGCTACCAGCGCAACCATTTCCCTCCTCACTACCACATGATCTCCGACACCAACCTTCCCGGTGAGCTTTACCCTCAGTACACAACCGTCGAGTACGCGCTCCCGCCGCCGCCGGCCGGACAATTCGATCCGAAGACAGGGGCTCCGACCCAGGTGGCTCCGTCGGTGTTCGTGTTCGTTCTCGATACTTGTATGATCGAGGAGGAATTGGGTTTCGCCAAATCGGCGCTCAAGCAGGCGATCGGATTGCTCCCTGAGAATGCTTTGGTGGGCTTTGTGTCGTTTGGTACTCAGGCTCATGTGCATGAGCTGGGATTCTCCGAGATGTCTAAGGTTTATGTCTTCAGGGGAAACAAGGAAGTTACCAAGGATCAGATTTTGGATCAATTGGGGCTTGGAGCTTCTTCAAAGAGAGCTCATGCTTCTGGTTATCCCAAAGGAGTGCAAAACGGATTCCAGAGTGGTGGTGTTAACAGATTCTTGCTCCCTGCATCTGAGTGCGAATTCTCACTCAATTCGGTGGGTAATCGTCTCGATTCTTTTGGTGGGTGGAATCGTAGAATGTGTTAGCCTGTGCATTCGTATAGTGCTCATTCCACTTTTATTGATTGTCAAGTAGACAAATTTTATCTGATTCCTCCACTTGCAAGTGTTCCACGAACTGTAACATGGTTTTATTACATTCTTGTTGTTGATGTTTGGTCTGCAGCTTTTGGATGAGCTCCAAACAGACCAGTGGCCTGTTCAGCCAGGTCATCGTCCTCAACGATGCACGGGTGTCGCACTGAGTGTAGCTGCTGGATTGCTTGGAGCTTGCTTGCCTGGAACTGGTGCGAGAATTGTGGCTTTGGTTGGGGGCCCGTGTACGGAAGGCCCTGGAACGGTAATATTTTGTTGGTTCCTCTGTCGATTGTATTGTCAAGTTTCATCGCACTATATCTGGGAAGCATGTCTGAAAGGTTTAAGGGTGAATTTTCTTTCTTTTGTCTTTTCCTCCACAGATTGTCTCAAAGGATTTATCAGATCCTGTGCGCTCTCACAAAGATCTAGATAAAGATGCCGCTCCATATTATAAAAAGGCTGTCAAGTTCTACGATGGTGTTGCGAAGCTGCTGGTGGACCAGGGTCATGTGTTAGACCTTTTTGCTTCTGCACTTGACCAGGTATTGCCTTGTCATGCTCATATTGTTTGATAGCCTCATTCTGGTTTTGTTCCTTAGGTTCAAACATGCTGAACCTGTTTCCTTTGGCATTTCTTTTGTACGTTTAGCCAAAATGAATGCATCTTTTCGTTGGTGCTTTGAAAGTGTGATTTATCTTTCCATCCCCGAGACATCTTATGTCTGGATTTAGATATCTAATTATAATTGCCTTCGCTGTTGCATTTTGGATATAGTTAGGTTGGGGTTGCTGAAATGAAAGTTGCAGTTGAAAGAACCGGCGGCCTTGTTGTTCTATCCGAAAGTTTTGGTCATTCTGTATTCAAAGATTCCTTCAAGCGGGTATTTGAAGACGGGGAGCACTCTCTCAGCCTCTGCTTTAAGTTAGTTCTGGCTTCAAATTTCTTTGCATTATATCTTATTTTTAGTTTATGTTATGTCATTAGGCGTATTCAGTTGGCAATTCAAAAATCTTTCTCTTCTTTGAGAGCATCATACTTTATTTTATTTATATCGTGAGGACGATGTTCTTTTCTTTATGTTTTGTTCCCAACTCAATGTTAACCTCTAATTTTCAGTGGCACACTTGAGGTCAATTGTTCAAAAGACATCAAAATTCAAGGGGTTATTGGGCCTTGCTCGTCATTGGAGAAGGTTAAACCTGGAAGGCTTAAAACCTGCTTGTCTCAAGACTTGTTTTGTGCTATGTAAATGAAGGAAAAGCTCTTCCTAATTGATTTTAATATTTTCATTTGGCTATATGCAGAAAGGCCCTAGTGTTGCTGACACAGTTATCGGTGAGGGGAATACTACTACTTGGAAGTTGTGTGGCCTCGACAAGAGTACTTGCTTGTCTGTCTTTTTTGATATATCTTCTAGTGGTTCAAATACTCCTGGAGCTGCAAATCCTCAGTTGTATTTGCAGTTCCTCACAAGGTGTTTTTTGCAGTTCCTTTTTTTTACGTTGTCTTCTTACTTTCTTCTTTTTCCTGAACTGAACCTTTCTGTATAGCACTGGATTCACTGTTATTGATTAAATTGCAGTTACCAAAACCCGGAAGGTCAATCATTGCTTCGGGTTACAACTGTGACCAGACAGTGGGTAGATACTGCAGTGAGCTCAGAGGTTAATTCTGGTCTTCTTACTTGCTTTCTGCTTAATTTGCAGCTTCATTCCAATACCTTATGAGCAATTGAGATTTTTTCTGTATCATCAGTATATGCTCCGAAGGAAAGCCTTGGCACACCGGTTAAGGTGTTGCTGTTGTGTCCTTAGAGGACACGGGTTCGAGTCCCGGAAGCAGCCTCTTGCAGAATATATTCTGCAAGGTAAGGTTTGCCTATAATACACCCTTGTGGTGGGACCCTTTCCCGGACCCCCGCTCAGCGGGGATGCTTTGTGCACCGGGCTGCCCTTGCCCATCAGTGCTCCCTTATTCTATACCATGAAGATTTGATCAATCAACTTTTCTCACACGCTACTCTTTTTTGTTTTTTTGCTTCAGAAGAATTCAGCTGTTATGTAATTTTGTATGTGCTCTCCGTGTTAGGAAAAACATTGTTCCTGTATCTCTTTTCCTCTCCCTAGTAAACCTAGATATTCCACCAAAACCACCATTATCGCTTATGCATCTATTCTTTAACTTATTTTATGAGGTAATTATAGTCGTATTTCCAGGGTTATTTATGTGTAACAAAAAGCTTAACCTGCAAACTAGCATTTTAAACTATTGTGATTATAAACCTTTTCAGGAACTTGTGCAAGGTTTTGATCAAGAAACCGCTGCTGTGATAATGGCAAGATTAGCTTCCTTGAAAATGGAGATGGAGGTATATCTTCGCATCTTTCTTATTGCTTACAATGGATGAATTTGAATGATTTCTGGTTTTTGTGTTGTGGATGACTTTTAATATGTGGTTCTGATAAGAGCCACCGAAGTAGAGCTCACCCCCAAAACCCAGCTTGTAAGGAGTGGGTGTCTATTTCTAAGGGCCTTACAACCCCCGAAGTTCAATGGTTTGTGAATTCCTAAAAGGTTCCAATTGTAAAAAGAAAAAAAAAAGTGATGGAGGTCTAATTTCTTCCTCAAAATGTAGAGTCTTCTCAACATATGTACATGTCCTCCCAAAATTTAGGCTTTCCCTTGTTAGATTCAACTTTCATCTCTTTATACTAAGCATTTGTAGTCTGCCCTGAAGTTCATACTGCAGCCACTTAATGTGTCTTCCTATAGTCCACCCATTTATGCAAGACATTGTATCCTATTATCTGCTTTATGTCTTTCTGTGATAGAACTGATGTATGTAAACGGGTTATCTTGTTTTGTGTCACAGGAGGGATTTGATGCTACAAGGTGGCTAGATCGTAACCTCATTCGTCTTTGCTCAAAATTCGGTGACTACAGAAAGGATGATCCAGCATCTTTCACTCTAAATCCATATTTTTCCTTGTTCCCTCAGTTCATGTTTAATTTGCGGAGATCACAGTTCGTGCAGGTACCCCACGCTTTCTAGTTGTCTATTGTTGTTTCTTCTCATTCAACTCGCCTACACAGTTGAATCACGAATTCGTTGGTGACCTTGGGGGATAATTGGCAGGTCTTTAACAACAGTCCAGACGAAACCGCTTACTTCCGCATGTTGTTAAATCGAGAGAATATCCCAAATGCAGCTGTCATGGTCCAACCATCGTTGACTTCATATTCATTCAATTCCCCACCTCAACCGGCTTTGTTGGATGTGGCTTCCATTGCTGCTGATCGTATTCTTTTACTAGATTCTTATTTTAGTGTTGTTGTGTTCCATGGCATGACTATAGCACAATGGCGAAACATGGGTTATCAGCATCAGCCCGAACACGCGGTATGTATGCTCTGAAGTTAGAAGTGATTCTTTATTTGTGGAAAGCATTTGGAAAATTTTCAGATTATCATCTGCAATTATGGTTTGGTTGCTCGATTAAACACCCGACAGCCATACTTCTATGCAGTTTTTTATGATCTTAAGGGTCATCTTTATTTAGGTGTAGAGTTATGGTCCTGTAGCTACTAGCTATAAACAATATG